AGAGGACGCACATCTCCCTTTGTGGTTACCAGAGCTTGGTCCTGCGGTCACCGCTTTGATCTGAATCTGTGTAAATGGACAGTAGTCAGCTGGATCAACCGCGTGATTCGGCTCATCATGTAGCATATCTGCGAGTGAATTACGATGCCGATGTGAAAATAGTGAATTGCTTCTCACGGTTCCCTTGTGAGGACTCTGCGATGTCATACGTGACAGGAAAGTCCTGTCGTCTGGAATTTTAATTTATGTCAGTGGCAGATGGTCATATGCATCAGTCATTTGACTTCACCCTTCAGTTTGCCTAGAAAGTTCTCCGCGAGTACAATGGGATTTCGTTGAAAAACTGAACAAAAATGACTTATTTTTTCTATCATTCCATCGTGGTTACAGCGCAGGTGGTAATCTGTATCAATTACTTGATCTAATCCCTCGTCATTCATCGCTCGGAAGCTCTCTGTCAGCAGGAAATTAAATTTCCATTAATAGTATCAATTTTTTAAAGTTGGCATGTTTGCTCTAGATTACGCAACTTCGTTAAATCATCGCCGGTCAGCGTTAACATCAACATTCATGAGTCTGAATTGATGGAACTTCAGATGACAATATCTGTTTTCTGTGAGTAATTTTATTAAGTTGCATATCAGTGATAAACTCTGAGTACAATGCGGAACATTTCTCAGAAGACTAAATTTATAAGTCCAAATTTGTTAAACGATTCACTGTGTTGGTTACAGGAGGTAATTAAACCAGGGCGTGTTCACGTAGTTGCGAGTTCGAATCTACGTAACTGACAGATGATTGTTAATATCCAATGCTTGCATTAGCTGTCGTTCATCGATCAGTAGAAAAATGAGTACAGCGGGATGCTCTTGTCGAACTTGTGAAAGTGGAAAATCTATTTTATAATTTCATTGTGGTGGCTGCTTTGATCAATAAGTGCGTGGGAATTCGTTTAACCTGTAATTACAATCTCCGCCTCTGGTGACTTTTGTTTGAATCTCCTATTCGGTTTTTCATCACATTACCCCCATGCCGATGGGTATCGGGTATGAACATACTCAGAAAATTAGGTCAAATATTCCAATTCCAAAGGCTGTGATTTAATCATTCAATTCTTTCTGACCACAGAATTGAAATCACACAGTGCTGGCTGCCATTGCAGTTTAACCGTTGCTAACATTAGGTGCCTGTCACAATGTCCACTGATAGAAGGAGGGCGCGCGGGTTATTGAGCATAATTAGGACGACAATGCTGTTATCAAAATGCCATCAGGAGAAAGTTTCGTCCGCTTACTTTTGCTTCGTGTTTCATAGGGAAACTGGTGACGGAACAACGAAGTTTTGGCGCTGTGAGCAAAGTGCTGGTTGTGATGCAGGGATTCACCCAACAAGTACGATCTTTACCATGAAACTTGCTTAACACTGTTTTGTTGATGTCGAGATAGCGGAAATGCTGACGGAATCGTAGGAAAAATACGAGCCGCAACCAGGTGCTTTTGAATAGTTCCTGATTCGTCACAATGGACCTGGACCCAATCGAATGCTGACATTTGGCACGCACAGAAACGTGCAGGTATTTTAGGGTCAAGAACGTGGTTTGCATATGGAAGATTTTTTCGCAAATCTGGAGAAAAACTTGGCGGCGCCCATCCTACCGTATAAGAGCTTTGACAAAACAAGCAGTCAGCGACGTACGGAATGTTTTTTCAGTTGATAAGAGCAGTGGTACCGAAACTTCTTCCGGATTCGATATCTTGAAATGTCAATGTTGCACTGAAGATGGAAGCAATGAGGAACGCATTCCCAGGTGTTCAACGTCATCGTTGTGTTTACCGTCTGAATGGCGACATGAACAAGCATCTGGGTGATGCTGATTTCGCCTTGAAAGCGACCATGACAACGGCATTGGCGTTTGCACCCACGGCTGAATTGGATCAAGCAATCGACAGACTGGCGAAGAACTTCCTTGCGAACTGCAGCCACTTCCTCTTCTTGGGTGGTTC